GCAGGTTCATCCATTCGTCATCTCTAGCTAGATCTCTACTTGCTGCATAATCTAAGGATTGATCATCTTCAGGTCTTGGACTCAAGTACCAGCTTATACTTGTCCACACCTGATTAAGAACATGGTTTCCTACCGGCATAGGATGAACATGGCAAAGGGAAGACAAGGGCATGGGACAGTAACTGTAGGATCTTTCATATATCTCCATCAACACCTCATTAATTAGATTAAATAGGAGCAAGTGATTACAATTACCCCCTTCTTCATTTCCAGAACAGTCAGGATCAAGAAGCACGCATCCTGGTACTTCCTCGCACAATAAAGGATCCACCGGCTGGTCATTGGAGTGCCATGTTCCTAGCAACTCACTTCCACTGAACCCAGAAAGCTCCAATACGTCTCTAACGTAATCAAACTTTGCTTTGTCCTTGGCGTCTACATTAACATGCATACTTCTGCTGTCAATCTCCTCCATCGGAACTGTTTTCTTCAACTCAACTCCACTTTCAGGCACTATGGAGGCATCCATATTGGATTCCTGACGCTGACCAGGGAAACAATCAACTTCACTGGCAAGGTGTCTTGCGTTCAATTCTGAATCTAGTTGCATTTAATCAAAAACCATGAAGATCAGTTTTCATTCATTAAAAATAAAAAAATAGAAACAGGCCTTGACAATATAGCTTGTCATTAATGTTAGTAGATACAGGTATATGTGGTTCTAGAAGCAAGCCTTGAGGAGTTTATTCACGCAGATCCAAACATGTTACTAATACTATTGGATACAGGTATATAGTTATTAGAGGACATAGTATATGGTAACAGAACAGTTGGATAAGATAATACCTTCAGATACAAAAAAGTCTGCAAAATCCTCTTCACAATTGGAGCTGGGCAAAAGAGAACTTTCTTCTGTTGGTTCAGAAATATGCTTTCTTGCAGGCTCAACTTCCGTGTCATCATAAGAACCATTGTCCCCAGTTACCAATTTGATCAAATCGTCACCCTTTTCACCTACCTCAGTATTTGCCTCACTGTTCATACCAAATGTTGATCCGAGCTGTTCTTCAATAACTGAATTTGTCTCAGTAATATCCAACTGCTCTAGAGTTTCAACTTCAGCAAAATTTCCGAATTGCAACTGATCTTCTGAAGCTGTAGGAACATCTATCTTATGATTATCTAAACTACGTAAACTTTTGGAGCCATCAACATGCATGCCTGAAGAAAAGGCTTCAGGAGAGCCATCACCGGGGTAATAAGAAGATTTAAGATCAGGTAAGGAAAATATTCTTTCCAGGGATTTAGAGGTGCTCTTACAAGGCAGCGGTGCCTCTTCTCTTGTCAATTCTAATCTGTCCAATGAATAATGCTTAGTTTCTTTTTTGAAGCTAGATTCATACAACTGAAGATATCTGTCTATTGAACCACTGAGAGATGACGTTCTTCTCATATGCCGCTGTCCAACCTTTCGGTTAAAAGGAGCACACTGATCACCTTCATAACTCATTCCAGATGTGTCTTTCCTGCTTCTATTTACTGACAAATCTTTAAACTGGTCAGCAATCTCCTTTTTCAAGTCTTTTGAAAACCCATGTTCATGAGGAATTTTGTGAAGGATTGCATCCATCGTAATTCGATACCCCTCACTTTTACTCTCTTTAATTGCATGTCTTATCTTCTGTTTAAGATCTTTGAATCGCTTAACTACCCCTTGAATTTCTCCGTGGTTTTTCAGATGGTGATTAGAATCTGAAGAACTATTAGAAATTTCTGGGACGATTTCAAGAATGCTGTCTGTCCTACGGTCTGAATCCATCAGTTCCATTGATTGTTTCTCCCTATCTTCTGTAGAATCATACTCACCTGACTTTCTTCCTTGACCACCTACATGCAATTTCCTTTCCCCTTTTCTGTGAGATTTACTATCTTCTTCCCTTTGTTTTAGTGTGCTTGATCTGGAACTTATTCTACCTCTTGAATCAATTGCAGGAAATGATCTCGATTTAGTAAATCCCATCTCTGAACTAAATCCCTTTTGACTGTAGAGATGATCATTCCTCAATGATGATCCTGGGTCCAGTAAAATTCTTAACAATAATTCTTTGTTGGTGTGTATTAAATCCAATGCATCCAGGAAGGTTTTTAACTGACTCATTGACTCATCCATTAAGAGTTCTTTTGTGCGAATCAATTTCTGGTCCATCCCATTGTCATGAACTTTATTACTCCCTAAGTCATTTGCAGGGAGCATGGTGCCACATTCTTCATTTGCCTTGTTCCTGCTACATAATTCCTCAGATGATTTGAGCAAAAGAGGATCCTGTGAGCTGAAAGCAGAAGACGCATCATTGTTCTCGTCAATATCTGTGTTACTTCCATTATTTAGTGCTATTTCAAGTAGGGGATCATGCTCCAAAGATTCTAAACGATGAATGGAATCGATTCGCATCAACTTCTGAACAGGGTAGGTTGAACTTCGATGATGCCGGCCCTTCTTTTTAATCTTCTCTTCAGTAATTAAAGCTTTAATTCGAGCTTTGACAGAATTTTTGGCTGTTGGAATGAGTTTCCTTGAAGGCTTTTCCACCTTAAAATTGACATAAAATGCAAGTTTTACTTATGTACTTATAAATTTAGACAAGACATCTCTACACCTTAAAAATGCTTTCATTAATGGAACACGCAAGAAGCCTCAACAAGGAGAGAAAACGAACTTGCAATTGTCTCACACCAAAATTTTGTTTTTCGGAGAATATCAACAACATATCACTATCAGTGTGAATGAACTTACAATAGACTTCACTATTTCAGAATGGCTGTGAGCTTGGAAATCATCAGGAACAGAGGATATTATACTCTTCCCAGGATCTCTGCTCCCTGTAAAGTTTAAAAAAATAATAATAATAAAGAGTTGATCATAGCCTACCAAAAGAAGTCCTACACTTGCTGAAACTTATCATGTTGGTTGGAGTTTTGCAGCTAAAAATATATGAAGTAAATTTCTTATAGCTATATTGACAATACAAGAGGGAATTTGTAAAAAAGGATGACTAGATTTACTTACCGGCATTTCTTCTACTACCTTGCCTCTTATGCGGTAGTCTTTTCTTGATATAACGCCAGTGGTGGTATGTAAGTATATTAAGTATGCTCCACATACATCCTGGAGGATTATTCTGAACGGAGATGGCAGTTGTGCGAATGTTCTTTCCCATGGGTCACCAAATTCACCTTGCAGAGCAGCTTCGGTGAAAACTGATTTCAGCTAGAAGTGTGTAAAACAAGATCCAAGTTCCAGTAAAGTATCAGACACAATTTGAGCAAGGTATTCCATCATTCAAGCATATCTTACATATATGCACCACTCGAAACAAGCACAAAAATATTACCTATCAAAATCAGAAGTCTCGACATCTAATCGTAAAATGACTGAATCATCTATCAAGAAAAAGAAGGCCTATTGTTATAAATGAAGGATATTGTAAGTCACTGTATTGATGAAAGGACAGGTTTCAAGACCTGACGATGTCATAAAATCGCTAAACAGAATGAATAAATCACATAAATTGGCAGATGTATGGTGGATTTCTAAAGGGTCGTGGAGAATCTGAAAATGGATACGAAACCAATATTTTGGATAATCTTGTTCCTCGATCCTCCCTATTGGCATTGCTATCCTCTTCTATCTCACGGTGACGAATTTATCTGAACTCGAGAAACCTTTTTTGGTAGGTTTGATTTTATTGTTTTCTCCAGGATTATCTTTTTCCCCTGATGATTTCCTAGTCCGAGAGAAGAAAGTCCTTTTAATACAGAGGACGAAACTTGAAAAACCAATACCTATCTTTTCAGTACCCTTTACAAATCCGGAAACCGGGAATCCATATAAGATAAATAGTAAAGAATTCAGTCCACCAAACGGGCATTCTCAAGTGTGTTTTTCTGGCTAGATTATTAAAATTTTCCAAGCAAACAAACAGGCAACACAATCATGAAGAGAATTTCACTTAAAATTTAAGAAAATGAAGAGATCAACAAACACAGCAGAGATATCAACAAATGGAATAAATTGTTCTGAAGATCATCATCGTCGTCGTCATCGTCATCGTCATCGTCATCATCAAAATGGAAAAAGAAAATCCGTAGCAGAAGAATGGCGGTACCTTAATCCGGAGAATGTGTGTTGAGATGCAGTTGATTTTGGGAGAAGGAAAAGAAGGTGGTATTGAAGACATGATTTTCGGATTTCAGATTTTGAATCATGTTCTGGTGTGCAAGTTATTTTTCATTTCAATTTTCCACCTCTGGTGCAGACGTTACCCGCCAATCTCTCTCCCCGCTCACCGTACTGTTTGCTTTTTGGTTAATATTAGCTTTCCCGAACAAATTTAACGGTCAAATTTCAATTCACATTTTTTAAGTCATTCAATTAAAAACCATATAATAGTTTTACGAAACACACGAATTCTTTTAACAAATAAATTAATTAATCATTACGTCTTAATAAATATGATTTATTATAATCTTTTGTAGAATATAGAAATTATAAGTAGATACTATAATTTGGATTATAGATCAATACTACAATTGAGCATCAAATTTTTTTATTATCATTTGATATATATATATATATATATTTTATAAAATTAAAGTAAATTTTTTTTATTTGAATAACTAAATATTATGTCAAATTCTTTAATCCATAATTAGTATTATAATTAAAAGAATCTAATCACTACTAACATTCCTTTTCGTGGGCTACTGTCAATCTATAACGAGTAAAATAATAACTAAATTCTATATTTTTATACGAGATTTAAATTAATAACCTTTAAACACGTTATAATACTAAACTAGCGCACTGATTTGGCCATGAATTGAGAAGATTTAAACTAACTTTTGTTACCCAGGGGTCTTTCGAGAATTTCGGTTTTATGCATTAGCAAGTTCATCTGCATTTTACTTATTCATATTGTTGGAGATGTATTTTCCAATACCCAGTAGTAAAAAGTTAATGTCTTCATCAATTTTGTTCATAATATTTTGCAGGAGCAATAATAGTTTGATATCTTATATGTATGTTCTTAAATTTGTTAGTCACTGAAGTGAAAAAGAAAAGAAAAACTATTTCATTAGCAAACTTCCAAACCTCACGGTTGTAAACTATCAAAAAGAAAGTGTGTGTGTGTATATATATATATATAACAAACTTCCAAACCAGTTGAGTGGTTTCTCATCTTGTAGATGCCAGCCTCAGCCTCATTCTTAGAAAGCAAACCTTCTGTTGCCATTTTATTTAAACTAAACAGAGAAATTTACCTGGATCTGCCGCTCTAATGGCTCACGCTCCCACCACTTTCGTGGTGAGCCAGAGCTGCGACCCTCATAGTAACCAAACCTAAGATCAGCATAAGTATAGACTTTTGAGTATGTGGGGGTAATATATTGATATAAAAGGAAATTATATAAATAACTGACTCAAGCTATACAATGAGTATAGATGAGTTCAATATATAATTTCAATGCCAATTCACTCCATTGTCTCCGCCCACTAATCAACAAACACGAAATCCGCAGCCCAAAAGCAGCAAATGAAGGAAGTCCTGATATCAACCATGCATTGCGTATTCAAAAACCACCATATTCTTTTTCCTATGCATAGAGAGGGTTTCCACCAAGGCAGCTCGAGTAATTGGAGACCAGGAGTCAGAATGACCAATGGAAAAATCTTAACCATATGATGAACTTGATTAACCTCGAGTAAAATCCATGTTGTAGCAGGTAGGATTGCATGGATAAGGACAGTCAATTTGCTTCACTACTTTTCGGTTGAAATACCAATCTCCTACAGATTCTGCAATTGTCTGCTCCACAAATAGTCAAATAACTAGAGTTGTTATGATAATAGAACTCCAAACAGGAAATAAACATATCACTAGTTGCTGGCACTGGCCAGAACAGTTAAATATCATGTACAGTGACCACATCTGAAAACCAAGGTAATGCAGAAGAGAAAGATACTAAATTGGACATATTTTAATATTAAGATATATCCATGTAAACATAATATTATGTATGATCAAAGTATTTAGGTTATTCAGGAACTAGTGGTATGAATTTACTTTTTTCCTATTCAGTAAGAATACCATTTACTTATTCTCTATTATAGGTTATTTAATTAATTAACTTATTTTTCAATTTAGTAGAATATTCTTATATAGACTCAAGAATTTATATTCTGATTGTATCCTGCTACCTATAAATATTATATTATATTAAGTTATTTCATACACTATTCATATGATTATTATATAAATATTGAATTATTGATTTGATTATTAAGATCCGAGATCTCCAATTTTGATTTTTAAATAAATATTTTCTTGAGCATACCTCTTTATCCTACATCAATAAGCCAAAACAATTAAAAATGCTATGTACATTGATTTTCAAATACTATGGAAGTTTTCCTACAGCACGAGCATTTTAAATCAACCATTTTTGCATGTCTTATAAAAGCCTGGAAGCGAAAAAGTAGAACAATGCATTAATAATTGTCCATTGCATTGCAAAACTCAGCCATGCTATACCATAACCCCACTCAAGGACGGACAAATTCAGGTATGATCAAAATCTGTTTAGAGCATCGTATATGAAACCTAAAGTCTCAGCCATAAAGCAAAACAATAACAATACCTCGGCTAAGCTAATTGATAAATCATCATCCAGAAACAGAGGTTAAAATTTTCCTTACCCTGTTGTTGATTCTAGGAGAACTGGGTGAATGCCAAGTCTCACCCATCCATGTCTGGCAGTGAATAAAGCATGAATTTACGAACACCCCATTTCTGTTGTTTAGCAGGAACTCGTTCACTGCCTTCAGCAGGGAACTACGGAAACCTACAGACCAGAAAAAGGTAAGTAGATAACACAAAAAAAGAACACCATAAACTGATTGACATTGAGGAAATTGACTGCATGAAGCAAAGTGAGCTAGAGAGAACAACACCTCTCATAAATTGTGGAAGAATGAACTTTATGTTTATTGTTGAGTATTAAGGGCTTATATATATATTCTTGAGAATAATAAAAGCAAATATACAATTAATTGCATATGTGAGTATTTTACTAATATACCATTTACCCTAATAACATAATACATACTTTCCAACAATGTCTTTCAAGCTGGTGAATAGACAGTATCCATTCCCAACTTGGTAATGATTATCTGAAATCTTTGGTTACACTTAAACCCTCAATCAACACGTCAACAAGTTGTAAGGTGGCAGGTATACAAGGAGTAGATATCAAATCACAATCCAATTTTTCCTTGATGAAATATCTACCAATCTCAACACATTCAACTATGTCATGTTGTACTATATTGTGAACACTACTGATAGTCAATTTATTATCACAGTAGAATCTCATAGGACCACCCCATTTAATTTCCAAGTCTTCTAGAATAATCTTTAATCATAATAGTCCATATACTCATCGAGTCATTGCTTGGAATTTTAACTCTGCACTACATCTTCTAACATATTTTGTTTTTTACTTCTCAATATGACTAGATTCTTTCTAAAGAAGGTACAATAGTCAATGGTGGGTCTTCTGTCTACTACAGACCTTGCATAATCTACATCAGTGTATACTTCAAAAAGTAACATATTGTTTCTTTTAAACATGATACATTTCCCTTATGTCCCCTTCAAGTACGTGGCCTATAGTGTACTTCCTTGAGGTTGTGTATGGATTGGCCTACCACACTCAATGCATAAACAAAGTCTGGTCTTGTATATGACAAGTATATCAATTTTTAAACAAACCTTTGATAGATTTCCTTGTTGATTTTGGTGCCTTCTTCTGCCAGTCCTAATTTATAACTGGGATCAATTAGAGTGCGAGCAGACTTACACACCAGCTTACTTATTTCCTTTCAAAGACAATTGATATATTTCTGTTGTAAGATAAATATCCCAACTTTTGAGTGAGTCATTTTTATACAAAGGAAATAGCTTATTTTCCTCAATTTTTTAATCTCAAACTCTCTGGCTAACCATTGTTTGAGCACAAATCTCATTATCACTTATCACAATATATCAACATATACAAAACAAAGCTATATACCGACAAAGTTATAACACTCCCTGAATCTAAATGCTTGGTAAATAGGGTGCATTCTCCCGACTCTGTTTGTACCCTATTGCTAACATTACTCTTGCAAACCTTCCGAACCATGTTCTTGGAGATTGCATGAGACTACAAAATACTTTTTTTAATTTACACACTTTATCTACCCCTACCTCTTTGGTAAATATCGAAAAATTCTTATATATATATTTTTCTAAATTCCCATGAAGGAAGACATTTTTACATAAAATCATTGTAATTGTATTCATTTTTACAATAGGTCATGGGTCTCCCAATAGTTTATCCCATAAGTTTGAGTATATCTTTCAAGCACCAGTCTTTTCTTGTAACTCTCTATGATCTCATTAGTCTTATACTTTATAGTAAACACCCACTTGTATCCTACAAGTCTCTTTTCCTTGTGTAAGTTCATCACCTCCAATTTGAACATTTATAGCATTTTTTCATTCTCACAGGATGAAGTCTTACATAGTATATCAAGAATAAACATTGCATTTAGACTCATAAGAAATTTTTTTTGAGATAGAGGACATCTTTCAAATGATAAAAAGATTGAAATCAAGTAAAGTGAATGGTTAGTACATTTCTCCGTCCCCTTTCTAAGTGTAATAGGTATATCTATATCAAAAGGTAAAAGATCCCAAAATTTACCTCATCTCCTGCACAAAACTTAGATGCTCGAACTTGCTTGATATCAGGATCTAGGTTTTTCCTTATTGATTATACTTGAGAAAAAATCCTGGGTCCTACAGGAATATGGGTTCAGGTTCTTTTTGTGAACTCAGGTTCTCTAGTGTTTTGGGTACTTGAGAGGATTTTGTTTGAGGGTAGGGGAATGTCAGAGAAGAATAAATCCTTCTTAACTTCCAATACAGTCTCCCTTTAAAAATAAGGTTGATTGAAAAATGACTCTCTCAATAAAAGTGACATCAGCGAAACATAAAATTTTTGGGTAGAAAGATGATAACACTTATATTCCTTTTGCCCAGGGAGTACCCAACGAATACACACTTAATGGACCAAAGGATAAGTTTTCTCCTTTGAAGTTGATGTATATGAACATAGACAATACATCCAAAAACTCTAAATATTAGTTATTTGTGATCCCTACGTTAGAAAAGAAGGTAGAAAAGACTTTTCTAGGACTCCAGAATTCCAACATCCTAGATGGTAATTTGTTTATAAGATACATGACAGTCAATACAGCCTTCCCTCAGTGTCTTTCCAAGCAAATGTTTTGGAACAAGAAAGCGTGTGTAGTAGCAAGCAAGTGACTATTTTTTTATTCTGCCATTCCACTTGATTATTATGAACTATGGACACAAGAAGCCTCATGATCAATCCTTTCTCTTTAAAATAATAAGGATAGTGTTCTGTTAAAGTATTGACGAGCATTATCATAGCAAAAACGCTTAATTTTCACTTTAAATTGAGCCAAGTTATTCAAGTATAATCATCGATAAATGAAATAAATAATCTAAGTCTAAAAAATGTTAAGAATATTTTGGAGATCTTGCAAACATCATTGTGAATCAATGTAAAAGGAAACTTACTTCTTTTATTACTAGGAGGAAAGATTACACATTTATATTTTACAAATTTACGTATATCACAGTGTATATTCCAATTTTTAAATCTTTAAAGAGGGGAACATAACTTTAAGGATAAAAAAAGAATAATGTCCTAATTGTCTTGGTGTAATCATATCTTATCTAAGGTACTGGAGCAGAGAGCATTGTATGGCATCTCAAATACATCTAAAAGATACAACTTATTCTGTGCCTCAGCATGTTAATCATCTTCCTGAGGCCTGCAATGAGATGAAGAAAATATCACTTACAATTAACGTTATGTAATATTTAGGTTACTGAAATTAGATCCGTGCAACATAAGAATAAAGTGAGGCGAATCTTCATGTTTCCAACTTCTGTTACTATGATTAGTGAACTATTAGCAGTAATTATAATATTTTCTTATTATTGGGACACAAAACATAGGCGTTAACGTATTTGGAGGAGTTGATCATATGATTTATAGCTTATGACTCCATACTCCAGGACAACATAGAGAAATTACTGAGATATTTAGTCCACATGAGGTAGAAAATGTAATTGAATGGTCAATAGACCTGTACTTTTAGATTTCTCCAGAGACTCAAGTTGAGTCCTCAGGCACTCGATTTCTGCTTGGCGATCACTGAGATCAGCAGCCTTCTCTTCCCCTGTTGGTTGACCACATGTGTTTGTCCTTGAGGCGGTAGGGAAATTATTCTTTTATCCACAATTTTTACTAGATGTGGCAGGCTTCCAATGGAGGTTCCAGCATTTCTCCTTAGTATATCTTGATTTCTTATGAAAGGTATACCATAGATTATCCTTATTCTCTCGATTAGTTGCTGATATATCATTGTAACTCAGCTCATTTGTCTGTTGGCGTGATTTGGAGCTTTTGGTTGTCATCGTTGAGCTCTCAGTAGAGTGAAGTTTTAGCATAACCCCCCTCCCGCTTTTCTTTTGCAAAAACAGATATCAATTCACTCAATGATGGTATTTCTTCTCATCCCAGGATTTGAACTTTCACCTGACCATATTTTTAATAAAGGCATAAATTGGTGTGTTTTATGTTTTTTCACGAATTTCTTCAGAGAGGCTGCATCTTTATTGCAATTCATATGAGTCAATGATACTCATTTAGTTATTACCACAAATCTTTCAGGAGACTGAAATATTCAGTCACTAATTTGTTTCCTTACTTTGTAGGCCAAATCTTGATTGGTAAATCATATACTTGGGCTGCGCCTTTAATCTTTAAGTATATTTCCCTGATTACTTCCAAACCTATTTCTCATTGGATAAGAACATACACATGCTACTGATCTTTGGGAGAATTGAGTTCCAGAGCCATGTCATTGTTTCATTAAATCTCTCGACTCGAGCATTAAATTGTAGGTCCCCCGATCCTAGTTATGGGTGAGTTTTCCTTTCCTTTTGAGGATCGTAAGGATCAGTTGCAACCACTTCAGGTAATTTTTTCCGTTCAAGTTAGGCGGCATAAATTGATTAGAAATCTCCAATCAATTGTTGCAAATTTGCAACGGATTTGCGCCAATAGTTTGGGACGTAATCTCTTATATGATCTAAAACTCTGAGCAAGGAAAATCAGTTCGGTAGAGGCAAAATCAGAAACAGCCATGCTTGGACAGGAAGCTATCCGGAGCAGCGGGATTTCTGGTGTAGAGAGCAACAACAGTGGCTGGTCCTAGGGGCATGTGGCTCTGGTGGTAGAGGCAAGACTGGAGCAGGGCCGACAGGTGGTGCAGGCACAGCTGGAGAAAGCCTAGTAGGTCGGCATGCGCGCAGCTGGACAAGGTGTGCAGATGGACAAGGTACGCAGCTGGAGGTGCTTGAGCTTGCAGGTGGCTGACTATGAAGGCTGGCAGCGGTGGTAGTACTGACTGGCTATGAAGGCTAGCCCTATTTAAATTTTTATATTTTTCTTGTGATGATGATTAGGACTTGTGAAAGAAAAACTAGGGTATTTAGCACCATGTGGAAGAATGAACGTTATGTTTATTGTTGAGTATTTTAGGGTCCTATGGCTACATGTTCTTGAAAATAATAAAAAGGAACATACAATTATACATATACAAGTATTTTACTACTATACCCTTCTACCTAATACATAAAATACACTTCCCAGCATAAATGTTTCATGTTTAACAAGACATGAAGAATTGGAGCTTTTACAATATGCAGAACAAAATCAAGAATTAATAGGTATGTATTGTTGTTGGCACATACAGGTCAATGTAGACTAACATACAACTCTCAGGCATCTCATGTAAAGAATTCCTCTAGAAAATAATTTCAGTCTCATCAATCTGTTTTCAAAGCGGATAGTAGCCTAAGCCATCAAGAATACAAGATAATAATATCCTATTATCCTTTTAAATGTAATGCATGCACTTTAAACAAGTTCAAGCAGAAAACATTACGTAGTTTAGATTCAATGACCTTGAAGTACTTCCATCTGGCCGTGATTACAATTCTGTATGTTCAGTCTGCACTTTACCCAGTAGTGATGGGGATCTGACACATCTGGTACCAATATATTTTGTATCTGGCAGATATCGATTAGTATCAGAAAATACATATTGCATACTAAAATAGCCATACTAAAGAGAGAATATGTAAGTCATGGTTTGATAAAATTACCTGCCAAAAGTCGTATGCGGGGTTGACAAGAAATACTGGTGTTTTTATATTTTTAACCATTTCTTGAGGAAAAAGACACTGCCACACAGTTAATACAGGGTTATATTATAAATCAGACCTCGGCAGAAAATATGGAGAATATTGAATATGAAAGAGAGTAAAAAAGGGGGCAAGGGGGATGATAAGAAGAAAACCTGCCTTAAATGGTTCCATTCTATCAACACAGTTCTTGTGCAAACTTTTCGATACAGTCTGTCACTAGGACATGTAACAAAGAGATTCCATCAAACTCAAAAAAGATCCAAACAAACGAGTAAAGGAAATAGAAATTATTATTAGTGCTGATCAGGAGAAAATTGAATATGAAAGACCCAAGAGCTTTAGCCTGTTTCCCTGAGTAGCATGGATGTCGAATGGCACTACCACAATAACTTAGGCTAGCTAGAGAGTTCATAATTTCGTATAAACTTCTATTATTTAATACTTTTTTGAGTGATGTGTCAGAACAAATAAAACAAGCAATTATATCAGTTGTCTAAGTTTAGATCTATTCAAACCTGATACAGAAATGATTTTTTCAAAAATGTTGAAGTTGCATGTTTCATGTGTAAAAACAAATAAAACGAGAGATTATGTATTTAAGTTCAACTTTATGCAAATTTTATATCAAAAAGGGAACTATGCTAACCATTCACATGCCATGATAACATTATCCTTCCCATGTTAGCTTGAGAAGCATTTGAGATTCCATAGAGAAAATCTCCAGTCAATGGAGTTTGTTACCAATGTTCTTGATAAAATTTTCCACACTATGGAGTTTGTATTGTCACTCAGCAATTGAGGATGATGTTCATGATACTCTTGGGAACTAGATGATTAAAGCTAAGCCCAGGGAGGAAAAGTCTGTGACAGCCAGGGTTTAGAAGCTTTTAACATAACAAGGTATCACTAAATGAATTCCTGTAGTTGGAATTTTATGTCTTCCCCATTTACTTTGCTTTTCTAGCAGCTATTGTTGATTCATGTAGCAAGACTTGTTGGGTGAATTCAAATTGTTAAAAAATCCCATTCATATTAACATGGGCCAAATTCAGCATATAGTGGCTCTTAAGTCATAAAGCAAGAAGTATGACAAAAGATTAAATATGACAATAATTTGAAGAGTAGGAAACCCTTGCTGCATGTTGTCTTAGCCCTGATCCCTTTTTTATGGCTTTCTTGTAAAGCAATTGGATATCCGTCAAATATGATACCATCTGTCTAAGGAGTTCCACTGGAAAGTTTGTTTTCAGCCTTAATGCCATTTCGTGGCTCTCATCCCCACACAGGATATTTCTGATATGAAGTTTTCTAGGCCTATTAGTCTTATTGGGTCCATTTACAAGCTTTTTGCCAAGGTCCTTACAATTTGACTAATTCTAGGGAAGGTGTTGGGGAAAGCCCAATCTGGCTTTCATTGAGGACTGACAACTTTGGAAGCAATGCTAGTAGTTAACAAATTGTTGATGAAGTCATCAAAAAGGACACAAATAAGACCTCTCTAAGCTTGATCTGGTGAAAACATACAACCATGTAGAATGGAATTTCTAGATTTACTTACCACAGCGCGTCTTTTTGGCATTAAGTGGGGTTTGCGGATTGGTTTGTGCATTTCACCAACCTCATATAGTGTTAAAAAATGGTCCCTCCTTCCCAAATCTTCCAAAGGATTGCGTCAACCTCAGTCCTCATTTTATTCTTGTTGATGTACTTCATGTGTCTAAGTTACATATAAATCTCATATCCGTAACCAAATTATCGCATGAACTAAATTATAAAATAATTTTTTCTTCTTTTCATTGTAAACTTTAGAGTCAGAACTTGAGAAAGATTATTGGACATGCTGAGGCACAGAATGAGTTATACTTTTTTGATGCACTTAAGATGCCACAAGCCGCCCTTTCTTCCAGCAGTGAAGACAAGATAATTGGACATGCTGGGCTAGATGATTTATTACATCTATTGATGATTGCACTCGGATAACTTGACTTTTTTTGCTAAAATCCAAATCTGAAATCAATTATGTTATTTCCAACTTCGCTACACAGTCAAAACTCAGTTTGGGGTGGAAATCAAATTCTTTTGCGTTGACAATGTCCGTGATAACTTTACCAAACACTCTCCCCATATCTTCAAAGTGAAGGAATTGTTCATGAGTATTCTTATATCTACACTCCACAACAAAATAGAGTACATTTTTTTAGATAAACAACAAAATAGGGTGACAGAGCAAGAAAAAAGCCACTTGTTTGCTAATACACGTCTTCCGATCTTCAGAGGATGGGAGGGTATGACATATTTCTCTCATCTATGATCTCAATGAATGGTAAATGGAGGAAAGGAATTCATTTGTTTTCTTTCTTCTTTATATAAACGTCTTGTACACCAAAATAGCAATGATGAGCCGATCTAGAAGCCCTAATATTAGAAAATTATTTGTCAACTCTTACTATCAGCCTTGAACAGCAATGATGTCATGTTTGATAGGTTCCCATAGAAATGCATATGGAAACATAGAGCCTCACCATGGGTGGCCTTTTTTCAGGGAAGCAGCTTGGCCTTGCATTCTCACCATGGATAACTTGAGAAAAAGAGGTGTTTGGGTCGTCAAGTAGGTAATCCCTTTGTTTGTGTGACAATGAATCCCCAAATCTATGGTGCTATGAGGGGAGAAATCTATGGGACTCGGTCACTAGTCTGATGGGCAAATGATGGGTTGTGAGAATGGCTCTATCTACTCTAACCTTCTAGCTTCGAATGGTATCCAGATTAACAAGAAGAAGAAGCTGATTGCTCTTCCCCACTACTTTCTGGACCATTAGGAAAGAATGTACCATAAGAATGTTTGATGCCCTATTTCCCCACTGGATAGTAAACTTATGTCTTTTGTTCAGATGCCATCCGCTTCATTTTTGAAAAGCTACTGGAGCCTTTTACATATTTTAGCAGACCCTACTTTGTAAATTTGCTTTCTTGCCTAAGTACTAGGGTGGCAGCTCCATGGTACCTAGTGTCTATAATATCTTTTTCCTACTGAAAAAAATAATAACGATAAGAGCATGATATGGTAATGATGTATCTGAGCAGTCATTTTTGCAAAGTGAAGCAGAACCTGAAGGTCGACAACATCATGATAGAAAGATCTCATGGTGTAATTTCCGAGGATGTCTGGCCTGAAATGGAAGAAACAGTAATTTCAGTTTTCTGTTCTCATCCTTCATTCTTACATGCATTAAAGGTCAGTTAGCAAGCAGAGTAGAAGAGAAGTATTTGATAAGATCAGATATATGCATGGGCTCCATAAACCCACTGTAGTTTATTACATCATCAGTAACCCTCTAGATTTTTGCCAGATTCTGCAGTAGTACAAACAGTCATGAGGGCTTTTCTATTAATATGCCGGTCTTAAGTGACAAAGCATTAGTAAGTTTAGCCATAAGTCTGTCTTCCAACAAGCTT